CTGCCAGTGTCCAATGAGGGGTTCATTGCCTCCTGCCAGTGTCCAATGAGGGGTTCATTGCCTCTGCCAGTGTCCAATGAGGGGTTTATTGCCTGCTGCCAGTGTCCAATGAGGGGTTCATTGCCTCCTGCCAGTGTCCAATGAGGGGTTCATTGCCTCTGCCAGTGTCCAATGAGGGGTTTATTGCCTGCTGCCAGTGTCCAATGAGGGGTTCATTGCCTCCTGCCAGTGTCCAATGAGGGGTTCATTGCCTCTGCCAGTGTCCAATACTCTAGGAAAGAAGAATAAGTTTCCGATGCGCAATGATAATTCTCAATTAGAAAGGGAAAATATGTAAAAAGTTAAATAAGTTTTATTCACAATTTTGGTTTAAAAATATTCAAGTCTTAAATATTATTCACCAGAAAATCTTTTTCATCTTTTAAAATTCTAGCAAAGAATGTGTGCAGAGTGAGTGCAAATTTATTTTCTTTTTTGCAAAAATTTATGGAAAATAGACAGCCATAAAGAATTTGGAGGAAGAATTTTAAATTGTTCAAGATATTGTTAATTTTTAACAATCAACAGGCACTAAACAGAAATAAATTAAAGTCGATCTTCAGGATTTCCTACGAAACAAGACAGAATTGAGAGATTACTTGAGGGTCGTCTATGGTCTTTAATCTAATTTGAACTATTCATTCGGATACCTTTTTTAGAAATAACATTCTTCAATTAATAATCATAAAATGACCCTAGTCCTGGTATTTCCAAAATGTGGTCTGATATGAAGAGATTCGTGCAGATGCCGTGCCTGCCGTTTCGTTAACGAATTAAAAATTAACCATTTCATTGTTAAAAATAACTTTAAAAAACTTCCGTTTGTAAACACAACGTTGCACAGCAATACCTAAGAATACATGATGAACAGAGGTTTTGTGACTAACCTAATTCCTGAACAACGGTTGCTTCTGCATCGTTCAATGTTATCTTACACATGCATTAGGCTAAAAATCGAGAACTTGCACTTTTATCTTGAAAACAATTTATCTGACAGTGTGAGATCCTTCTTGTCTTCCCTGTACTAAAGAAACTGTTGAACCAAGATTAATGTATTTTCTCAACACTTTCTTTTTCACACATTTTGTAATATATATTAGAGCCCTGTATTACATACAATACAAAAGAGTAAAGTGCGTAATTTGGTTATATTAAAAAATTGCTGAATTTGGTTTAACCTATCTTTATCATTGCAAGTAGAGATGTCAGCCTAACCCAAATTACTACTTGCTAAAATATTATTATCAGGTTTGTATATCTTTATTCGTGAAATTTTTTTCTTCAATCAGTTTAACATTTACAGGACATTAAAAACAAATACTCAAAATAATGCAGTTTTGAAATTTCAAACTAAGAAATGCAATTCAAGAGCTAAGCTTTGTAAGGTTTATTGATTGTTTTTTTTAAATATTTTTTTCCTCCAGTAGTTGCTTCATATAGATCTTTAGTAGCTCATAAAGTGTCTTTGTTGTAAGTATTGCATATTAAAAGTTATGCATTATACTACAAAACCATTAAATATTTCGTAAGTTGCGATATTTGTTTATACATGAAATTGCGAAATTTTGTCATAGTTTTACAGTAATATGAAACAGCACAAAGGTTTAATTAAAACATCTTATATGGTTTTAAAACCAAAAATGTTGGGTTTAGTTTGCCCAAATATTCTGGTGTGAGCAAGCTATGGGAAGCGACTGAATAGATTCTCAGGGATGACAATATATGTGCAACGTCCTTTACAAGAACTGGATTGTTTCCTTGGAATGAACAAGCTCCCAACAAACTCAAGCTAATGCCAGGAACTCTTTTCAAGAAGACTGATCACCCTGAGCAGCTTAATGATCATGCCCTCGCTGAGCAGCTTGATGATCATCTTCTCGCTGAACAGCTTGATGATCATCCCCTCGCTGAGCAGCTTGATGCTCATCTTCTCGATAAGCAGCTTTATTATCGTTCCCTCGCTGAACAGCTAGATGATCCTCCCCTCGCTGAGCAGCTTGATGATCCTCCCTTTGCTCAACAGTTTGATGATCCTCCCTTTGCGCAACAGTTTGATGATCCTCAATAATAAGAGGAAGACAAAGTTACGTCAGAGAAAAGGTTTTAAACTTTTATTGGTGCCAGGGGTGAATTATGTTAAAATAAAATAATTTAAATTTTTTCCAAAGATCATTCTTGTCGGATTTGGGTGTTTATTTTTGTTCGTGTAAATGAAAAATAATTTAAACGTTATTTTGTTAGGAATAAACTCATGAAAATAGTGTTTTTTTTAATAAATATTTTTACGGTACCAGCTGAAACAAGTGTAAATTGATATAGTTTAACACTTTAACTAAAAACCGCAATTTAAAACCAACCAAAGTGAAATATATGAACAATGATATGCTTTAAAGCAACCTGTGTATCTGAAGCAATTTCTTCGGATTCTTACTCAAACATCTTCAAACTTTAGCATGTATGTTTTTTAAACAATTTTTGTTTAAATATATTAAGTTATGGTTTTTTTTTCTTGAAAATCTGAAAAGTTAAGCTTAACTATATCCAAACAACGAACTTTACTCTACATTACATATATGTAGAACCATAGATTAATAAAGATAAAGATAGAACACTAGATGTCGTCTGTTCAAGGCTTAGGAGTTTTCGTTCACAAAAACTCTGAGGCAGAAGCCCAAAGGAGTTACGCGCATGCCGCGTTGATTGACAAGACAGAGAGAGATTATGCGCGTAACTCCTTTGGGCATCTGATTCAGAGTTATTTTGATTGTAAAACCCCTAAATCTTGAAAACACGTCATTTAATGTTCTATATGCATTGTTATTAATCTATGTGTAGAACAAGGTATGAATTTAGTGACGGTTTATGGGCTATGGAACTGCAGAAACTAACCCTAAAATTGAGTGGGCTGGATAGAAAATGTCCCCCCCCATACAATAATTTATTAAAATACTGATAAACCCAGAACTAAGGAGACATCGAATGTATTTATAAAATGTCGTCTTGACAATTTTTCAACGGGTTTTATACTATTATACCTAAATAATAGTAATTCCAAAAATAAATAAATTGCCACAACATATGTGGGAACAGTTTAAAAGATCTTTGTTCAATCAAAAAATCTAAATATCTGTAACATTTTACATTTCATTACCTGTAGCATTTAACGGTTAATTAATCATATTTTCGTAAACCTTTTATTTTTTGTTTAGGTACTGGGTCATTTGTAATCCGCACTCCAGATCCCTAACTTTTAATCAGGTAAACGTTTTGTCCTAACTACAGGGTTACACACAAAGGATGAGACTGTAAAAACAACCTTCGTCAGGCAATCGAGGGAGGGAAGGCCAAGCAGCCATGAACCCCGTGGAAAAGTCTCCGAAACCCTGCAGAAACAGTCTCCGAACCCCGTGGAAAATCTCCGAACCCTGTAAGGAGCAAAAAATGTGTTATTCTGGGGGAAATCGCATGATTTTTGAATTTTTTCAACATATGGCACAGGATCAAACAAAATTATTACTAATAAATGCAATTTTGATCTTATTTACGGCCCTAGTATATGTTTATTTTGTATTCCTTTTTTAAGCTTAAACTTTAAAATGGACCTACGCAACAACGCACAATGTTTTTAGTATTTCAATGATATTTTTCATGAAAATGCAATAACATGTTTTAACGTAGTCCACCACTTTTTTAATTCCCGTCATCAAAGGGCAGTTTTACTCCATAATATCATTTTTTACTGTCTCCCCTTTAAAAGTGACCTACGCTGTAATTATTATATCTACACACGCAAGAAATATAAATATTGAATTAGAATGACATTTTGCATTTGCAAGTTTTACCACCTTTAAATTTTTTTGTATCATCGTAAAGTTATTTTTAATTAAAAGTATATAATCTTTTTCTGCATTTCTAACGATTATCTAGTTTGTCGTCTTCATTCTATTTTGAAATAAAGGGGGGGGAGGGGCAAGAAACGTATTACTCTCCAGAAATTTAAACAGTGTATAAACACAACTTAGCATTGTCCTAGGAGGCTGATTTTTTGCATGCGAGCTTAAAATTATGTTGTAAGAGAGTTCATAGTTCTGGTCTCAAATAAACAAGTTAAAAGCATAAAATATATTTTATTTAATCTTGAACCTGACACAATATATAATCCTTAAAAACTAAGTACTAGGGTTAACAAATATGAATACGAGCCTTCAGAGTAAAAGTATCAATCTAAAAGAACTAAGTAAAACTTGGAAATAGAAAAGGGGAGCAAAAGCAAAAGTAATAAAGAAAACTTCAAAAACCTGAATAGTCGGAATCGCATGCAGTTTCACTCTGGAAAAATTTCAGTTCTGAACGCAGGCTTGGGGAGAAATCAAGCCCCTTTTTATACTCCCAAGGGAGCAGTAACTGCGCGCGATAATTAGACTATATGGATTTTGATTGGTTATTGATATTTATAATGATACATAATTGGGCAGAAAGGGTTCCTATTGGTGGGGATAGAGGAGAAGAGGGTCTTTTAATTATCGCAATTATTATAATTGCGTGGCATGAGCTCTGATTGGCTGAGGGGTTCAAAAAGAAGGGGAGAAATTTCACCATGGAGTAATTATATGTCGTTCAGTGGGGGAAAAGCGGAAGTTTTATAATTAGAAAAGAAGGGGACGTATCTCACCCCTCAGTAATTATGAACAATTAAATTCTAGAAAAAAAACAACATAATACGAGACTTAATATTAAATACAAGATAGAAATGTGATCACATTCACAATGTATATTACATGTATTTTTTGGTTTTGAACGGATCTGAGCAAAAGTGCGCTCGCGCCCTTTTTGTGAAAAAATACGACTTTTTTGACAGTAAATCAATTTTAACTTAATTAATTGCACTTGAACATTTATCCTGATACTCTTGAAAAAATATGCGCTCAAAAAATTCACCTCCAAAGCCTTAAATGTCAGAATAAAGCATAAGATACATCAAACTATAGCAAAATTGGGACAAGGAACTCATTTCCGTGGTCAAAATAGACATTGGAGCATTCTGACTGGCGCGCCAGTAGCCGACAGTTACATTATGGTCATCTTAGCACAGATTTTACATGTTGTATGTCGATTTACAGGTAATTGGCACGAGGAATTCATTCCTGGGGTCAAAATGAATATTAGAACATTCTGACTGGCGCGCTAGTAGCCGGCTGTTTCATTATTTTGCTATAGTTTGATGTATCTCATGCTACTTTTATTCTGAATTAACCCAAACTTAGCAAATAAGTATTCATAGATTTTTTCTTCTATTTCGCGCGAGCGCGGACATTTAAGGCTCTGGAGGTAAATTTTTTGAGCGCATATTTTTTTCTAGAGTATCAGGATAAATGTTCAAGTGCAATTAATGAAGTTAAAATTGATTTACTATAAAAAGGTCGTATTTTTGACAAAAAGCGCGCGCACGCGCACTTTTGCTCAGATCCGTTCAAAACCAAAAATACATGTAATATACATAATTTTAAGCTCGCATGCAATAAATCTGCCTCCTAGGACAATGCTAAGTTATGTTTGTACACTGTTTAGTGTTTAAATTTCCCGGAGAGTACGTTTCGTGCCCCCCCTTTTGTTAAGGTTCATTTAAATAACAAATTTTATTTTATAAAAGCAGGTATCAAATTATTTGAAGATGGACTAAGAATGTAAATACAGGGTTACCCACTAAAGATGAAACTTAGGAGACGTCAAGAATTTATTAGAATTTTTTTCAAAAATTTATGGTATCTTTCTTTGCCAAATAATTGGAATAACTTTAAAACACAATTAAAGCAAAAGCCAAAGTTAAAACTTAGATCGTCAGTTTTGAAAAGCCCATGGTCTTAACTAAAGTCTCTTCCCTTAGACGTTTTAGAAGTCTTGTGTTTTTTAATAATCCTAAAAACTTGCGAAAATGCTCATTTCAATTTGCTCCAAATATTTTGCTGACAATCCTATGGATTGTATTTACCAACTTGGAATATTTAATTACTGAATAAAGTTAACTAAATGAAGATTATTCCACAATGAAGACATACACGCCGAATCAGGCCTTCTAACATCAACGAGTAGTCATTTAGTAATAAACAAGTTAATTAGTAAAACCATTAGTTGGAAAAGAATGCTTACTTTAAAAAGCAATTAAAATCACAACTTTATTAGTGGGAAGCAGCGGAAATATCCATTTCCCAACTTAAATGACATGAGAGGGGCTTACAAGGAGTTGTTCACAGGGGGGGGGGGCAGGACTTTAATTTATTTTTCTTGCAATGGCTTCTTATGGAAGAAAGAGCCATCAAATCATAAATAAACAAAAAAAAATTTCAGATCCAGGAGGGGGATAGAGCCCCCGTGGCCCCCCCCATGTATACTACTATTATACTTAATTTTCTATTTTAAGCAATGACCTTTTAATTCAAAACAGGAAATAAAAGGTAACAAACATAATTCTATGAATAGTGTCATACTTGAGATCCACCTTTTTTACGGGAAAACAAAATTTGGAGAAAAAGACAATTAAAACAATAATGAAAATTATTTCTTTAACTTGATTATTATATTTATTGCTAATTTACAAGTAATATTTATATTTGATAACGTTTTTTTTTCAAAAAACCTCCTCCACGGGGTTCGGAGACTCTCCACGGGGTTCGGAGACCATTCCACAGGGTTCGGAGATTTTCCACGGGGTTCATGGCTTCTTGGCCTTCCCTCCCTAGGCAATCTCAGTGTTAAAGTTAAGTCGATTTTTAAGCAAGTATTTGTTTATAGGATCATTAAAGCTGTTATTTTCTTAAAATGCACTTTTAAACCTTCCTAGTCCTCGTACTTTTATTTCAAAAGTAAAGTTCGAAATTTTTTAGAAAAGTTTTTCTTAAAGTTTAAATAATTTAAGAAAGGTTTTAGAGAATTAAGTTCAGTATGCACAATGCATATATTGCATGTATTTGTTCGCCAGATGAAGCAAAAAGTTTATCTAAGTTTTCTAAACTATTCTTTTGGCCGGAAAAAAAACAAAATTCAAAAATGGATTATGATTTCCCCTGGCCCTCTCTCCTACCCTTGTAGTGTTTTCAAAGCTCTAAAATTATAAATTAAATAATATTTTTCTCGTGGATTTAAATTTTCCAAATCTACGTAAATCCAAATGCTTATGTTAATATTTAACCAAATGCAGTTTGAATTTAAAATTCGTGACAAATCATGAATAAGTATTATTAAAGGAACTATCATTGTAAATTCAAGTGAAACCCTTTTATTTAAAGAGTTGCAAATTGCATTCCTTTGCTCTGTCCCTTAAATGCGCAAGTTGACCGCAAGTCACTATATTATACAACCACAGCTCTTGTTGAAAATTTGAAAATGTTCAGACAGAAAAACTAGAATGTCTTCATAATTTTTGCTCAGACAAAGTGATATGAGTACTGCCCACATTAAATACAAAAACACTAGAAATAATTTCGAAAGCAACAACAAATTTGAGCAAAGTTTGATGAATGTGAAATTCGCTAACACGTTTTAAAAGTATGTTTTTCTTTCTTGAAATCAGGGTTGAGAATTAATATTTATGAATGCTTTCTCGTTTCTCTTACCTTCTGTTTTAAACATATTTATACATAGGAGAATTCAATAAACTTTAAAGCGATGAAAAAAACCTAGTCTCACCCGATCCCTACATTATTTCTTTACTGGTATGTTCTAATGCTTTAATGGTCTGAAAACATCTTTAATGATGAAAACTACACATTTTTGCCGGTTTGTTATTTGACCATTAAAGGGAGTGTCTGGCTAAACATGGTAGTTGAGCTGAGAGTGCAGTGTTGTAGAGATTTTTAAAGAAATTATTTGAGACCCATAAGGATGTTTGTAGATAACTGCTAAATAAAAGCGCAAAATCAATCTTAAAAATCCTCCTGGCGCTCGTTGTAAAGATTTTAAAGATCGCATTAAATAAATTTATAAATACATATGATTGCATGTATTAATTAAGAATTGCATTCTACATTCTACAAATACACTTTTAACCAATTTGGATTTTTATGGAATAAATGTATTCTGCGGAAAACTGAAGTGTTAGAATTTTGCGAAGTTTCTGAACTAATTTTTGAAGTAAAAGTTAAAAATATTTTTGTTTTTTCCACTTTATATTTCAATAACAAGGGATTGGAAAAAATAAGAATTTGTTGCAAAACTGCAAGTGAAATAGACTTAACAAATAAATATGGATTTCTATGGATTGCTGAGGATTATAATCCAGTTTTCCGGGGATTATAGTCCTATTTTCATCTAGGGATTGATCATGATATTTATCTAGGGACTGATCCTGATATTTATCTAGGGATTGATTCTGATATTTATCTAGGGATTGATCCTAATATTTGTCTAGAGATTGATCATGATATTTATCTAGGGATTGATCCTGATATTTTTGTCTAGCGATTGATCATGATATTTATTTAGGGATTGATTATGATATTTATCAAGAGATTGATCCTGATATTATCTAGCGATTGATCCTGATATTTATCTAGGGATTAATCCTGATATTATCTAGGGATTGATCCTTTTGCCCGTGTTGTGGGCAACATCCTTCCTCATGGTCCTCCCTGCTACACTCTACAGGGTAAGAAACTAATCTTTTTTTAACCAAAACACATACTTCTTTATAACGTAAATTTTGTTTGATTGATGCATTGATGCATTATGAAAGATTTTCTTGTTACATTGCAAAGAAGAAGTTATAAGGGATATAGACTAATATGATGTCTTTTTTTACAAATGGAAAAACACACGAAACACTTTGTTTATAAACTCTGGGCTTAAAAAGGAAAATTGAGAATCAGCACTTATAATAATCAGATATCTTCTGTTTACCATACAAAAAAAGGATTTGGAATGGGAAAAACGATTTTCATTTTTTTAATTCCTTTCATTCACATGAAATTTTTTCCCAGGAAGTGTCTGCTTTAACCCCAATGGACATGAGATCTTCTCTTTGGTTCAGCATCAAATCACTTCTAGGTATTTTTTTAGATATTCGGCATAAAAGTTTAAGAATAAGGATGAACGACTTCTTTATAAAAAAATTGTTCTCAGAAATCTTGAAAACATTTTTTTTCAACTATGCCATTATTTTACAGAATTTTAGTAGTAATATTATTATAAATTATAAAGTTTACCATTCAAAGACTTTTTTCAAGGTATAAGACTAGAAAGTTGTAATTATATATTACCAATTTCAGGACGTCCATAAAGTTTTATTCTTTGCGAGTAACCCAAAACCATAAGAAACATAAAATTTAGTTTTCAAACAGCTTATTTTGTTTAGATTTGAATGCTAAAATTGGTACGAATAGTAACAGGACAGCAGCCATTTATGAGGTAAATTCTTTCTTTATTTATACAACTGGAAAAATGTCAGTGGGATGCAATGAAACAGAAATGATCAGATTTCTTAAAAGAAGCGTTATAATCCCTTGTTATGTTCAGGAACTAAATTTTTTTAGATTTTTTTAAATTCAATTTTGTCATGAATAGATGGAAAAAGACTTAATAGAGTAGGTTGAAATTGCCACACGTCTGCGGCCTTCTAGTTGTTTCTCTTTGTAATACCTGCTTTGTAGTAATTTTTTTCCTTCTTGGATATTCTCACTTGCTGCTGTTTATACCAACTTTGGCGACTTTGACAATAGGGCTGGGCACGTTCCAACTGTTTTTTTCCATTTCGTTAACGGGTAGTTTCAACCGTTACAAAAGATAATTTTAGGTAGCCGTTAGTTTTAAAGGTAAGAACGAAATCTTTGTTTCGTTAACGTCATTTACCGGTTTTTTAAACGGTTGACGCAAAATTTTCAACAATCATTAACGGCTCCAGTTGTTAATAGTCTTATAATTATTAACAGCGCAAAGCGCCGAAAAAAATTCTGTAACGGCTAAAGAAACCATTAAAGGTGCAGCCGTTAACGTAGTATATTTCAGTATTAACAGCATAAAACGCCCAAAATAAATTCAAGAACAGTTATGAAGTCGTTATTGCACTATAGTTTCAGTAGAAATAAATATTTCCATTTACTGATAGCGCCGATTGAAGGATTTATATCTCTAATTGGATAATGAGATAGATAGAAAGATAGATGTTACCGCCATACTATTTCTATTGGTACAGAATAGACATCAAACACATGACTGAACCCTGATTGGATCAGGCGCTAATGGACCCGACAGACAGAAGTGATTGGTGAAGCCGTTAACAGTCTTTTTAGTAATAATGGCGTTAACGGTTTGTCAAACGGCATTAGCAGTTGATCTATATTTTTCCTTTTCTGCGGACTGAGTATGCATCTAGATATCTAAATCATTTATACTTATCCTATTCTGAGGAGAACCCAGATTCTTTCACGGCTGGGCAAACTCCAAATTTTGTTTATAAAAATTCAAAGGTTAATGCGATCTATTCTCAGCATTTAAGGTTGTGAACACAGAAGACAAAAATTTAAAAACATCAAAACATGTAAAAAAATTTTTTTTACATGTTTCATGCAATTTTAATAAATCTTAGCAAAGGGACCTGTGTATAAGCTATGAAGAAATGATGAACAGATTGCTGAACAGTAGCTTTATAATCATCTCTTGTGTTTAGGAGCAACGGGACCTGTGTATAAGCTATGAAGAAATGATAAACAGATTGCTGAATAGTAGCTTTATAATCCTCTCTTGTGTTCAGGAGCAACGGGACCTATATATAAACTATGAAGAAAGGATGAACAGATCGCTTAACAGTAGCTTTATAATCCTCTCTTGTGTTCAGGATCGACGGGACCTGTGTATAAACTATGAAGAAATGATGAACACAAGTTATACTCAAGCTTCCAGCCCGTGTTTCCCGGGACAGGTATTACTCTACCAAAGAGTTCCAGTAAACATATGGATTAAGAAAAAGTCATCTATTACCTACGCGGCATGCGTTAACATGAACAATATTAATCATTACGTACTATATATCTTGAAATCAGAAAGATCTAATTCTATAATATTAAATACAGTGATATCTACAATGTAATAGCTACACTTTTAAGTGTATTGGATGTTGTTACAAAACAATAATAGTTATACTAAACACTTTATAAATCACAAATTTCGTGAAATTAATCTGATTCTTATGTTCATTTGACTTTCTAAAATTATAACTTATTTTTAAAAGTTGGTTTCCTATTTATGAGTTTTCTGGTTATCACTGTAAGTAACTAAGATCAAATATAAAGTGTTTAATTACAATTTCACTGTTTGTTGAAAATACACTGAAACCAAAATAAAAACATTATTTTCTGTTGCCAAAAAGAATTTATACATACATCTAATCATTTGCCATTTTAAGCGCTTCAATACAAAAAGTTTATTATAAAACTATTTCTCTCTCTCCTATCAAGTTTAATTGTTCCTTTTTAAAGATTTTAAAAATCTGAGAATTCTATATTAAATAATTTCATGAAGTTAGAGAACCAGAAAATTCTGGAATAGGAAGACGACATTAAAGCTAGTAATTTATGGAATTGATGTCGTTACAAAGCAACAAGTTTTACTTTCAAATCCCGTACTAAGTTAAATTGATCTGAGCTGAAAACTTTTGAATGGGATATCCTTAATCCCGATCAGTTAAATTATCTGGAGATTAATAACAAGAGGAGAACAAGCATTATTGAATCTCAAGATTAAAAAAAAGAGTGGATCAAGAATGATCCCGATATCCAGAAATCAAAAGTTCCCAGCTCTGATTACACTTCACAATTGCTGTGTCTCATGCTCATTGGAGTTTTTAAAACTTACAAATTGAGTCTAAAAGTCGTCTTTCTTCTCCAGAGCTTTATGGTTCTCATTGTAGTTCATAAGTTATATAAAATAAACAATTAATTTTAGATAATAAGAAACTCTACCCAAGACGACTGTTGTCAGGTTTGTTTGTTTTTATAATTTATCTACTTCTGGCACAAGATATATTGTCCAATTTAAAAGTAAAGGATAAACCCACTTTGTACTTTATTTGATGATATTATTTTCTTGTCCACTCAAAACACAATACCATCCAATACTGCAGCCAATGCACATCATTACTCGACTCAGTGGGGTCCAATAAACATCAATCTAGTTAAGGAAATAAATTAATCAGGATAAAAAATACATTTAAAAACTGTAATCTAAATTTTTTCCCTAAACTTGACAATCACATAAATTTGTAGGATTGTCGCCCTAAAAAAATGTATTTTTTACACATATCCAAACATAATTAATTAATTCAATTCGTCTCATAACATTTCAGATGAAAGTCGAACTGAGCAGATCAATCGGCTGTTCAGATACCATGCTGTATACTTGTTCAGAGTCTGTACATCCAGGATACAGGTAGCTGTACACTTGTTTAGAGTCTGTACATCCAGGATACAGGTACCTGTACACTTGTTTAGAGTCTGTACATCCAGGATACAGGTACCTGTACACTTGTTTAGAGTCTGTACATCCAGGATACAGGTACCTGTACACTTGTTTAGAGTCTGTACATCCAGGATACAGGTACCTGTACACTTGTTCAGAGTCTGTACATCCAGGATACAGGTACATGTACACTTGTTCAGAGTCTGTACATCCAGGATACAGGTACATGTACACTTGTTCAGAGTCTGTACATCCAGGATACAGGTACCTGTACACTTGTTCAGAGTCTGTACATCCAGGATACAGGTACCTGTACACTTGTTCAGAGTCTGTACATCCAGGATACAGGTAGCTGTACATTTGCTCAGAGTCGATGTCCATCTTGGATACAGTTAGCGGTAGATTGTCGTCATATAGGCTGTATATTGTACGTTCTGAATAACAAATCTCTACAATTGCTAGGGGTCTGTACATTCTGTACACCTTTTCAGAGGCTAAAACATTCAACAACAAAAATTATTTTAGTTTTGAGATAAATATCTTAAATTTAGTTTCAAGGTTACCCACAAATATTAAATTTTCAAGACGACTTTGCGGAGTTTATCTACCATATTTTATAACACTAGAAATTCAAGGCCCTTCGCGCCCTTCTTTCAAGCCCTAGAGGGCGCTTCGCGCCCATCTTCTAAATTAGTTGTGAACATGTTCTCTTTGTGTACATCGTAAAACAAAACAAAAATAATTCGCGGATTTTCACAAAAATTTCGCGGATTTTCAAAATTTTTAAAAATTTAATGACGATCGATTTTTGATGGGGACAAATATTTGAAATTTTGATTTTTCATAAACCTTCCCTGGGGTCCCTAGATTTCCCACAAAAAATTTGGGCCCGATCGGTTCAGCCGTCTTGACGTTATTGGATACAAACAAACAAACAGACAGACAGACAAGCCAAATTTATATATAGATTTAAGTTTCAACCTTTGAAGACCCCGTTGTTTGAGACACTTCAATTAATTCGATTTTTTTAAGACTTTTGTATTCAACCTTGAGTCTTCTGTTCCAGTATTTACTACCTGGGATAGCGTTATCTATAGCTAACGCAAACATTTACAGGTAGATTTTCATTAAAGAAACAAAACAACGCATAAAAGAGAAAAAAAACGGCGGCTGAAATATTATTCTTCAAGAAAATCGTTGTAATGTCTTTTTTTAAGAACTCTGCAAGATAAAGAGGCAGGAATTGTGAGAAGGCAAGACGCGGAAAAAAGGAAAGAGGTGAGATCAGTGGTGGGCATCTTATTGGATCCATTTTTTATCATATCATGTTGTTTTGGACTCTCCACGTGAACATTTAAGAAAATTTCACGTAAGATTGAAATATTATATTTGATAATTATAACCCCTTTTTAATATGTATTGAGAAGAACAAAAGTTTTGAATGTTTTATGAAGTAAGATGAACCTGTCAGAATTAAAATAAAATTGAAACTGTCAAAAAGTAAAAAAAAATATTTCTGCTTTTGTGCGGTTAAAATGCTTCATGAATTTAGATTTCATTTTTATCCAGTCTACGAAGTATGATAAAACCGTAAAAAAAGAGATTTCCTAACACGGAAAAAATTCATCTCGTAAGAACAATTTTTGCGGGTCTGAATTTTCTTCAAAATCTACAATTAAATACAAAAAACCAGCAAAATCTTAAATTGCGACTGAGCCGAAACATGGAACCTGCAATGGTCATAATTGGAACTGTATTTTACTCTAGCCTCACAACGAAGAACCAAGGACCTGGTAGTTATAATTGGAACCTTATTTCTTTGATATTCTTTAGGGCTGCATAGAACAAAGAACCTGATGGTTATGATTGAAACCATATTTTATTCTTTGATTACTGCGGTTGCGTAGAATTAAGAACCTGATGATTATGATTTGAATAATATTTTTCTCTAGGATATACTGAGGCTACGTAGAACCAAGAACCTGATGGTTATGACTGATGGAATAATATTTTTCTCTAGGATATACTGAAGCTAAGTAGAACTAAGAACCTGATGGTTATGATTGGAATAATATTTTTTTCTAGGATATACTGAGGCTACGTAGAACCAAGAACCTGATGATTATGATTGGAATAATATTTTTCTCTAGGATATACTGAGGCTGCGTAGAACCAAGAACCTGATGGTTATGATTAGAATAATATTTTTCTCTAGGATATACTGAGGCTACGTAGAACCAAGAACCTGATGATTATGATTGGAATAATATTTTTCTCTAGGATATACTGAGGCTGCGTAGAACCAAGAACCTGATGGTTATGATTAGAATAATATTTTTCTCTAGGATATACTGAGGCTACGTAGAACCAAGAACCTGATGGTTATGATTGGAATAATATTTTTCTCTAGGATATACTGAGGCTACGTAGAACAAAGAACCTGATGGTTATGATTGGAACCATATTTTTCATCTGCTGGCTTCCATTGAATATATTTAACCTGGTGTCCGATATATTCTCATACCTGGTAAGCTGCAAAAACTAAACGTTTTAGAAGAAAAAACAAACAAAAATTCTTTGAAAGGATTCAACCGTTTTTTATTGTAAATCTTCTAAAAGGAGATATAAATGATTTTATTAAAAATCATGAAATTTTCGTTTTAATAAAAATAATGAAAACTAATTAAATTTTTTTTATATCTTTGGTAATTTTAAACGCACAAAAAAGGCAGATCACATTTTAGAAATTGCTGGGAAAGGGCTATTTCGTGATTTTTTGGTCATCACTCATATTTGTAAAATTAGATTGACGCACAAATGCCGTAAACTTTTGTAATATCTGGGACAATTGTGTAAAATCGTCTTATCAATTGTTGTAAGTTCATTCCGGCTCTTTCTGACTATGACTGTAACTTAAAGGCAATGCATTGTAGACGTAAATTCAAATGACCCTCTATTTATAGGGTAGCACGTCCGATTTACAAAGTTACCCTTTAAACATTTGTCTGATTATGTATTATGGATATCTAGGGCTTTGAAACTTTGAATGTACAAAAGCGATTACTGTCCACTGTAATCTTGAATTTGCCGGAACTCAATTTTTGTTTATATCTTATATTTAGGAACGCCTTGGATATACTAGTATACTTTTGACACAACTCCTCGGAGCTGAACCTTACATGATAATATTTGCTGGAACTCATCTTTGCGCCATGTTATGTACAGGTGTGTATACATTGTTCACTAGGGTTTCAAGCGATAGAATACGAAAATATTCGTTCGTATTCACAAAATTTTCCGCGAAATTTCGATTTTTTTTTGTGAAAATTATTTTGTAAAAAATGCGAAATCTAGAAGTGTTGTAGCTACAACAATTAATTGTGCAAAAAAGTTTTATTATATCATAATTAATAATTTCTCTTCCTTCACTTTAATAAATGTTTGATGAAAAATTTGCAAAAAAATTCCGTATATTTTTTGCGAAATTTTCGCTAAATATTTGCATTAGTTTTTTTTGCGAAACCGATTAAAGCAAAATTTCGCTATAAAACAGAAAATGTTTGGCAAAATATATTTTTCGCGAAACGATTTTCCTTTTAGCAGGAAACACAATTGTAATCGGTTTTTGGTGGATCAGCAACGCGGTTCAAATTTCTAAAATTCGGCCTCTAAATATTAAAAGAGAATTTAAAAGAATCTGGGTTTGTACAATGAAAAAAATGTTTTTCTTCTTTTTCCTTGTCTAATTTTTGATTATTTTCTTTCTTCTCGGACTTTTTGCAACTCATCATTTAAAAGAAATAATTTGATTTTTATTTTTTATTTCATTGTTAATTATTTAATTTAGTTATAAATCCTTTGCTGTATGGATACTTCAACGAAAACTTCAACAAAGAGTTTAAGATAATCTTGCAACAGGTAGATTAATAAAAACATATTACACAGTTTTTACCGCTCTCTCTGCATATCAAATATAGTAATGTTTGGAATTCAAGGTCTTGTAACAAAAGATAAGTAAGAGTTTCTATGGTGACACTACGACAAAATGGCAGGTTTTTGTGTTTTTTTTTTTTGGAGTAAATTGCTCTCAATATATACTTTCTAATCATTTGTATGCAAATGCATTTTGCAGGTATCTTCAAAGAATATGACTTTACCGAATTTCTTCCGCATTTGCTTTTAAAATCTTGGTTCCCAGCAGTTCTATTTTTTCAAAAATGATTTAGTATTTAATTTAAGATTATATCAAAGAGATTTACGTTGTCTATGCTATGTCAAATCCTCTGTGGGTAAACTTTATACTACGAGACTAACAATGGTTAGCCCTCTCTTACCTTTTTCATCTATGGAAAGTGTGTGTGTGTGGGGGGGGGGGGGGAATAGAGCGTCCCCTTGGCGTTTTTAAAAAACGAACAAAGCCAGATAAGGATGAATTTTGAAAAAAAATGTTAATGAAAAATATTTGTCAAAGATTTTAAAGTCATATCTCAATTATCATACTTAAAGGGACTGTAAGCGTAATTTCAAGTGACCCTCCATGCAAAGATGGCAATGCCCAATTTACACTGGTACCCTTTTAAACTATAACTGTTCATCGAGAACAGAGACCTCCGTGTATCTGTCGAAAAGCGCTTGAATTCATTTTAAACACCTGATCCCTAGAAATTACCGAAAATTTTACGTTAAAATTAAGCGGGTTTTGAAAATTGGAAAGAAAATATTTATCATTTGCCAAAATTGAATATTATTTTAAACAGCTTGCAAACAAAGTGTAAAAATCGTTTAACTTTAATTTAATGATGAAAAATCCGATAACATTGATTGCTTAAAGGTTTTGAGGGTATTGTTGTGAATTGAACATACCACGTTACAAAAAAGGGGGTAACTTAAAAATACGCCTACAATCCCTTTATTAGTACATTCACCCTTTTCAGTAAAAGTTATGACGAAGTGTAAATCAACCTTTTTATTGTTAAATTTTCGATACTATTTTCTAGATTCTTCACCTGGGAGGTTGTGGCCTGAATGGTAATGAGAGATAAATGAAAACAATCCGAGAAAGTAAAGAGAAATCAGCCTGAACAGAAACAATGGAGAGAGGAAGGATGGAGTAGTAGAGATGGGCTACCAACCCACTTTTACAAACATTTAAATTTAAAATTAAAGTAATTGGTAAAATCGTTTTATTAGATCAAGTTTGTCAGTTTTGTGTTGATGTAAAAAAGTGCACAATGTAAAAACACGTTTAAACAATTCACTTGCATTTATATATTTATCTTATATATGTATATATATATATATAAATTTAACCTACACAAACAAAAAAAGTCGTGAAAATAAGTTTTCCGAAAATGTTGGCAAAAATGGTTACACATTTTGGCAAATCGATACTGTAATACGTCATTTTTGTGTTTTGTATATATATTTTATAAACAAAAAATCATTTGAAAATTTGCGGAAACGAAGGTTCGGCTTCCGAGAAAGTGATGGAAATTTTACTAAAAAAGATTTATTTGATAAAATAATCGAAATTTTACAACACTGAATATTCGAAAATGTTAAAACTTTAATTAATCACAAATTCATAGATTGTAAATATTCTTCTATTCTAAATTCTAAATGTTATTTGCTCACAAAATTCCCTTAAACAATCTTTAATAGCTACATGTGTAGGCACAATTAGAGATCGACTTTAAGTAAAAATAAATTGCATTCATCTAACTTTAAATTATGATCATATCTGGATGGCTCCTATTTAAATCTCGAGTTTAAGTGATTTAATATATAATACTTTATACCATAATATCAATATCTCTGTAAATCTTTTAATGCAAATCCTGCATTTAATATCAATCTTTAAAAAAAAATCTTTTGCAAATCATTGTGTTTTAATGAATGAAATAGATTAATATCTGTTAAATTAATAAATGTTAATAACTCCTAACCCTTGGAGGAGATATCTTTTTTCCAACAGCTCAGTCTCTCAGTGTTTAATGATTATACCTGTTTAAAATTATTCTTAAAGGGACTCTAAGCGTAATTTGTAGTGATCCTCCCCTCCATCGAAAGATGAAAATGCCCGATTTACATTGGTACCCTTAAAACCTCAATCTGATTAAAAATGTGGAAGATATCGTCGCTTTTCTGATTCGAAAATTGATTATTTTGTGAGTTTCTCCATTGCTTCTTATGACAAGCAATGCGTCAGTCACTTTCGCAGAGAAACTAAAAAAACCTGCAGTTTAAAGAAACAAAAACATTGATGTCTAATTTTTACTTGAACAAACGCTTTCAATTGCAGTTACCTTTATAAATCGGACATTGCCATCTTTGCATGAAGGCTTCTTACTTGAAACTACGCATACACTATACAGTCCTTTAAAATTTTGTTTTTGTTTTACCTGAATCATATGATATGTAATAATCAAACTATGTATTTTTGTAAAAAATATATATATAGATACGTTTATTGTAAGTTTTGTTATTTAAAATAAATATTGTACAGAATGCTTTTTACATTATTCTTTGAATATATTGTTATATTGTTTTTATGGCGCGAATGTTTGGTAATTGGAACACTACAACGTCTATCTGACCCCTCATGTTCATGACTCACGAAGCAGAGGGATGGATATTTTTTCAACACATACAGGGTGACCAACCAACAAAGGATGAGATTTCAGAAACGGGCTTATGGAATTTATTAGTCTTTTCGCAATTTTTTTTTATTCAGAATTCTTGTTGAGAAAATATTTACAAAAAAAATAGATTTATTCTAATTTTAAGACTGTTTTACTTTCTCCACTATTTACAACAGTTTGTTGTTGTTGTTGTATCAGAAAAGCAATTTCTCCCTACATAACAGTTTGTTGTTGTTGTTGTATCAGAAAAGCAATTTCTCCCTGTTTACAACAGTTTGTTGTTGTTGTTGTATTTTCTCCCTGTTTACAACAGTTTGTTGTTGTTGTTGTATAAGAAAAGCAATTTCTCCCTGTTTACAACAGTTTGTTGTTGTTGTTGTATCAGAAAAGCAATTTCTCCCTGTTTACAACAGTTTGTTGTTGTTGTTGTATCAGAAAAGCAATTTTAAAGATAGATCCTTATAAAGAGATATTTATACATCCTTTTTCTGTTGAACTATACAAAGAATCATCACCAAATTATTTATTTTTGTGATATGAGTGTGGTTTTTATGTCCAAATGAGTAGAAAAAAAACTAACGGAAATATAAAACACAAAGTTTTTGTTATTCATATAAAAAGATCAAGACGAAATCTTTTTCTGAATCACATTGAGACGAAACTCCCCCTCCCACCTCTTTAAATACCCCATATTGTGCCCCCCCCCCCCCTAGTTCTATTGTTTAGTAATAAAGTTAAGATATACTTCCATTGAGTTGCAATATCTATTGTGATGACACTTCTCGTACACTATTCTAACAATAAACTTTTAATAGTTCTTGTAAAAAGACAGAGCATAAATGTTTTCATAGAAACTTCTTACCATTCGTCAAGTATTTCAGATTGACGTCAGATAAATGTTAAACTTAGTGGCAGCTTTAAAGGGACCGTTCACGTATTTGGGTAATTTCGGTGTTAACTAAATAGCTTATGAGCTATTGACAAGTATTTGTCTTACTTTTCTAAGACAACTGTGGCCGAAGTAAAAGCCGAATTTTTCTATCAGAATTCGAGCGCAAAGAGACGTTGTCTTTACACTATTTGATGTTTTTTGTCATTGTCATGGATTGAAAATAATTCGTATAAAAAAATAAAACTGTAGTATCTAATTTTTAATAAATGTCATAATTTTCATTTTTTAAACTTTCTATTTCTCTGTAAAATGCTGAATAAAACGCGGCATAAAAAAATGGAGGGTTACGCACATATACGGGAACGATATACATTTTACACGTTTTGTTACGAAAAAAACTTAAATTTATTGTTAACTCAAATATGAAAAGTTTTCATATTTTTGTATATAATATATTTTTTCTCTCGAATTCTGAACGAAAATTGGCTCTTTCTCTGGCCACAGCTGTCTCTGAAAAGTAGGACTATAATACCAATTAACAGCTAATTATAGGCTGTTTAGTTTACCATGAAATTACCCTAATAAGTGAACGGTCCCTGTAAGACTATAAAAAACCACTATTTTTAGGATATCCATAAAAGGAAAATTAAGAAAAACAGTTCTGGAAATGTACCAGACCAGTGTTATCTAATTTTTTTTCAACAGATACCTTGATTTAACTAGTTTTGAAAGACATTTTCCTAATTATTTTTCAAAATTTTACAATTCAAAAAAACGAGCCTTTCTATGCGTTAAATATAAGATTTTTTAACGTCACATAACCTTAAAACTTAAAAATGAATAAAGAATGTACACGTTGAAATGAACACTCTATTTTTCTAATCTATATCTTTGCACCATATCATGGTAGACTTTTGATATTTAAAACTATGAATTCTGATAAATCCTTCTAAATTTCCGAGTTTAAAGATCTAAAGGAATTAAAGCAATGTAATGTGAATAAGAATATATTTTCTTTGTTGAATAAAATCAAAGAAAACTAATACCGAATATATAAGTCTACGGAGGCAAAAGTCAATAATAGGCGTTCTATTGTTACAAGGTTATAAATAATAGTACACTGTAAGAAACTTTTTACTTTGAAACCAACCACCACATTATACATAAACTATAGCTTGGGAACCCAGCTCGGAGACTAAATTGATCTCTATAAAAGTCAACCTACTCAACATGAAACGCTTAAACCAAGCTAAGAACATTCTACTAACTGAATTTTATCTATAAAACACAACCTACTCAACATAAAACGCTTAAACCAAGCTAATAACATTCCTAGAACTGAATTTTAGCTGTACAAGCCGATCAATTCAACTTAAACTCTCAGAATTAGAACATTCCCGTGGTTCTTCCGAGTTCCCCAATCGAAATATGAGTCAAATCGGTCCAGGGGTTCATGAGTTATGATCGGACATACGAGGTATGATCAATTAGTTTTGCTTAAACGTTTTGGGGGTACTTCTAGAAGTCTCAGCTCGGAATTATTTTTTAAGGTCAATATTTCTATACGGGATACAATTTTGGCCAAGTTGGCGTCATGTAGATTGTTGTTGTGATGTAAGAAGTGTTCTCCACTTAGCTGTGCTACGAATCGACCCGGCCATAATGTCGACTTTGTGTAACTGAATAACGAGCATTATACCATAAGCTGTAAAATGGATTCGGGTGTTAAAATCCGTTTAAAATAAAATCCTAACCCAGAAAAATGGTCCTTCAGAATTGAATATTGAGAAAAGGTCCAAAAAGGACCCAAAACCTCATTTGATCAAAAACTATTTTTACAAACTTTTTCAACAATGTCAAATTAGGTTATGTCATATAAAAAAAGACGATTTTACGTAAATATCACCAAACAAAAGATACAGGCAATCTAAGAAAATTTCTCTCAAACTTTTTGGTGTTGGAAATTGGAAAAAGGTCCACTCCAAAATAGGTTCAAAAACTCTTCGGATCAAAAATTTAGTTTTACAAACTTTACAAATTCATTCTTGTGAAAGATAATTTCATTTAAATATCGCCAAAAAAAAGTTACAGCTAAGAAATCTAAGACCTGTTTTAAGGTTTTCAACTATTTTTTTCATACAATTACAAAAGTAAATAAGAGCTAAAGCCTTAACTTTAAACCAATATCAACGATTTTGGTTATGCTTTATATCTACTAAAAATTCTGATATAATCAAAGAGAATAGAATATATATTAGAGTGGAATTTACAAGAAAAAAGTGTAAAACGGCCATTTTGTTGTACTGTTTCCATACTGCAATTGTACTTCACATTTTTGTGCTTTATAACCTTTAGGGCCCTGGAACATCATTTTATAGAAAATCTAAAATTAATATTAACAGAAAACCAAATTATGAAATAGGCTGGTTTCATAATTGACCAATGATCATTTTACATAGACTCTATGCCTTTCACTTTACAAACGATGATTTTCCGGTATAACTATAAATCAAATGATGTTTTTTATTCACCTAATTCATTTTATAAAGTTTATGTAACAGCTTTAAAAAATTCGAAATTGAACTGGATAGTCTAGGGAACATACTGTATTAATGTACTCTGCTGCATATAATTTGTGAACATTTACATGATTTGTACACTTTGAACTCCCGAAGGATTTTCTAAATTCCACTCTAATATATATTCTACTCTCTTTGGATATAATGGTGTATACTTGAGCCTTCTGTCATTCTTGTAGCCAATTTTCATCAAGTTTGAAGTTTCGGTATTTCTCTTTACAAAATATTTTTTTCATTATTGGCTAGATTCATTACTCATGCTCTAATTTCTTACATCCAGGATGGCTTTTATTAAAACTGCTGGGCTCAAGGTATGAACTGTGTTAAAATGTTCAAGCCTTTGCTAAATCAATCTTTTTGAAGACTTTCATGCATGTTATAATTGGGACAAAGAAAGGACAATCAGTTTAAAACCTGATCTCAAGATCATCTAGATTTTGCAAGATTTTGTTGCAATTTACTCCATTAAAACCACCTTGATAGCCAATACAAAGAATATGTTTATTGCCAAAATTTTATGTGATTTTACAATTTTTTATCCCAGAAATACTTCAAAAAGATTGTAATTACTGTTTAGTAAAGGCTTGAACACTTTGACACAGTTCATACCTTGAACCCATCAGTTTTAAGAAAAACCATCCTGGATGTAAGAAATTAGAGCAGTTTAGAACCTAGCCAATAATGGCAACCATATCGAGTTATTAAAATGTTTTATTGTAAACAAACATATGATCTTTAATATATTGTTAACACTTTCAGATTTGATATTTGTAATACAAGTGCTAAAAGTTAAATGTACACTTTTTTTCTATTGAAAAAACATATTTTACATCATCGACTTAATAAAAATAGGCAAGAATGAATGATAGAAGGGTCTAGTTTAGGACTTGGACATGCTACCAAAGAGGTTATAGTGTATAGAGTGATGATGTACGTTAATCCTTTACTAATTATATAGGCCATGAACTATACCGAGAGCGTACTGCATGTTTGTTTATTATAAGGAGATTCAGGCCTAACCTATAGTATATCATTATTAGTAAACAAATGTAAGTGCACAGTACACCTAACTGAGCACACAGGTAAGAAACTATCATCCCCCCTGCATGCAACTCAATAAGTGCAGAGTTCCTTGAAATTATGAATACGTCCTTTTAATTCATCATTAGACGACTATAATTAACTTATAACAGAAAACCGGATTCAACCTTTTCATCTTTATATTAAAAGAGTTTCATCCTTCGAGGGTAACCATGCTCATTAAATATCAATCTTCGAATTAACAAAACCTGTTTTTTGTGAACTTATTTACCTGTCGGGGGTAAAAATATTAGGGTTGACTTTTTGTAAACACACTTTGGTTCTTTCTTCAATTCTAGTCTATATTTGGAAAATTTCGCATTTTTTCGCATTTCGTTCGCTCACAAAAATGCAAAAATTTGCTATAAAAATACGGGGAGAAATCTTTTATGCGCAATTAATTGTTGCAGATACAAAATTATTGGTTTTCGCGGAATTTTTTTTTCAAAAGTATGTTCGCGAAATTTTGTGCTGTTTTCGTATTTTTCGCCAAATTCATTTTTGCAAATTTCGAAATTTTGCAAAAAAGTTTGCAAACTGCGAACGAACATTTTCGCATTTTTTTCGCTGGAAACCGTACTTTAAAGGAAAAGTTGATGATAGATTATATTTTTTTACAAATTAGATTAGACACATATTATAATGGAAGAAAAGAAACTTGGGGTCGTCTTCGATGAAAAAAAGGAGGATGGACCCCTAATGGTAATTTTTTTCAGATTTAACCCTAAATTGGATTGTGGTAGGGCCATCTTGTCCAGTTCACTTAAAACTAAAGCAAGCTTATAATTTTTGTAGCCATAGACATTGGAGACATTCGTTGACCATAAATACAACTTCTAACCCCCCCCCCCCCCCCAAGTCGTCTTTACTAAAACTTTTGCACTTGATGATTTTACCAATGGTATTAAGCTATTTCCAGTCTGCCTCTCTCAGGAACCATGAATCCTTTCAAGCTCATGTCAAGCATGTAAGCACTCCTTCCAGATGTCACAAACACTGTTTCAGTCTCCTTGGAGCCTTTCTCTAATGTTTACCAGCCGTCATTAGAGCTCACCTTCTCAGGGATGACTTTAGCAACTCCATCTCCCTCGCTCTCAAGGCTGACAAGATCTACCTGAGCAGAGTGTCCTTGTCTTCAGTTTTTGCCGTCTCCAACACCTTTGATGAGTAGTTTCAAACAAATGCAATCAAACCCTTGTCCTCGTCTAGCTGACCCCGCCATTTAGTAACTCCACATGCCAGTAACCAGCAAGACAACTGTTCACAATCATCAACCCTCTTTTACTATCATTGTTCTTGGGGTTCACAGGCCAAGAAATGCAGAGCTCTCTGTTCCCTGTATGTATAAAATGCCTTATTTTTCACGTTAGCTTTATGTCAGATAAATAGAAGTTAGTTAAAGTAGTAATAATTTAAATTTTAAAAATAAAAATATGTGTTGATTTATATATAAATTTTGAAATCAAATGGTAAAAATATTAAAAAGTCAGTGGGGGATTGAAAAAAAAAAATTCTAGAATAAATATTGATAAAAAAGTCTTAACAAGTCGGTGGTAGTGAGGGTAGTTTGAAATAAAAAAACAAATTCTTGAATAAATGTTGATATATGGATTTTAAAAAGTTGGAGGTAGTGAGGGTAGTGGGGAACTGAAAAAATCCTTGAATAAATGTTGATAAAAAAGTTTCAACAAGTCAGTGGTAGTGAGGGTAGTTTGAAATAAAAAACAAATTCTTGAATAAATGTTGATATATATATTTTAAAAAGTCGAAGGTAGTGAGGGTAGTGGGGAATTGAAAAAAAATTCTTGAATAAATGTTGATGTTTAGATTTTAAAAAGTCTGAGGTAGTGAGGGTAGTGGGGAACTGAAAAAAAATTCTTGAATAAATGATGATAATAAGTTTCAACAAGTCGGTGGTAGTAAGAGTAGTTTGAAATAAAAAACACATTCTATGTCTATACAGCTTTTAACATCCCTGGAGAACTCTTGGACAGTTTTGAACTTCCTAGCTCCGGTTTTCTTAACAAGATTGAAACAGCAGTAATAGGAATCGCCATTCCTCCACCTCACCATGTTTATTCCACGCCTCCATCTTAGTTGCCAGCCTCCCTTGTAAACTCCTAGTTTGTTTTTGTTTGTCAGGATACTAGTAAACCTTTTCTTGCTCCTCTCTATCATGGTCCACACCTTGGAACGGCGGAACAAGTTCTTTCGTCTCCAGATCAGAACTCCAGTTGACTCTGTGACGGTGGCTTGTCTCAAAACTGTAATATCAGATTCTCCAGTCCGCCTCTCCGCCCCTGCAAGAAACCACCAGAATTTTCCTCCGCCTTGATTCCGCCGTACCTTTTGGGAGGAGTGATGTGGCGGAAGACAATGCCTAGGTTTTAAACTTGACACTGCAGTGAGACGTGAAGATTTCAGCTGACCAGATATTTTCCACCTTGTACAAAATAATATATAGTTTTTCCAAGTTGTTTAATAAACTTTAGACATTAAAAAAAATTAATTGGCACAATTCTCAGAAATGTTTGCTTGAGAGCTTGTTACCCTTGAAAAATTTAGAAATTACGAATATTGTTTATAGGACACAGCCATCAGATACTCAGAAAGCACTACAGTGGTTGGTGTCTCTTATATATTTGATAGGTAACTCATTTTATCGCTTATACAGTAAACATGTAACCTTCTTAAAAAAAAGCAATTTTATAATACAAGAAAAAAATATTTCATTTCAAGATGGCATTAAGTACAAGTCAATCTTTACCGTGCTAAAATTGGTTGTTAATTTAAACAATTGGCCACAAATTCCATTAAAATGAGTTATTTTCTTTTTATTAAGTTGTCATTTGTCAATGCTTCTTTTTCCGAATGGGTATAAAAGATTTTTTCCGGAGCTTAATTTTTTAATAGAAAAACAATAATTGAGCAAATAAAATAGTCTGCTATGAATACGATTTGAAAAAAAATGTAAAGTTTTTTTAAGTTTAAAAACCTTTGCAAGAGCCTCCTGTGATGAGGTTTTTTGTAATAAACCTCTCTTTTCGTAGTTAGCAACTTAAAAGCTACCAAATTCAGATCAACTAAATGTGTAAATATGCACAATATATTTAAATAATATCTTATTTTATATGTTTTCTGTATTCTAGAGAACTGAAGGGAAAAGATAGATTTGCTTGGACTGTGTTCACTATATTTTTCTTTTTTTACGGAGGAACAATTTTAATTAATTTAGTTTTTTACCAAAAATTGAGAAATAATTCATTATTCTTATATGTATGTAAAAATTCGATTCTATAGGCGTAGTTTCTTACTATTGGAAAACAATAAAAAACATTTGGTTCTGACACGGCAAACATAGATACATAATCTAAAACTTAAAATACAATAAAAAATTTTAAAAAGAAAAGCGTTGGCAACAAAATTTCCATTAAGAGTAAATCATAAACTTAAATGCGTAATTTAGTGAACTACACCCACCTTTCCTTTTACTTACAATAAAAAATGAAACAGCAAAAAAAAAGATTGAAAGACTGATTAAGATATAATCTGCTAAAGTTTTCAGAGGCATCATTGAAAATAATTGAGTTCATTATTTTTTCTCCAATTCTTTAGATTTCAACTGAACTAGACTTCTATTCTACCCTAACAAACTCGAATCAAAAAAATATTTTGATAAAAAATATTTTAAAATATAAAAATCTAATAAAAGTTGACTTTATCAGGGCGTTTAATTAGAAACATCGAAAGCGGAATAATAAATCAGAAACACAGTCAATAATTTTGTAATTTTGTTACGACTGATAAATCTCGAATTATGTTCTAGCAACATTACAAAAACCGTTACAAATTACAAAATCCAATGCTATACTTTTCTAAATTGAAAAACCTAATAAATTAAACGACTCTCTAGCTTTTCGCTTTTATGGCTCATCATATTTTTCTTTAATATAGGTGAAAATTAAGGGGGTTGGTCCATTAATTAAAAAACAAAAAATTCTGAAAAAAAAATTAAAAATTGTTAAAGTATACTCGGTGAATGAGACCTATGTTGGCTGGGTTAATCAACCAACTATTACCACCATCAAGTAGAAATTTTTTTTTCTTCAAAAAATAAAAAGTTTTTAAAAAACAGTTCTTTAATGATGGGTTATGTCATTAATTCTTAGGTTGAAACTATTGCATTTTGATTATGTTTATGATTATAATGCGTTCAGAGTCTAAACCTTTACAATATCAATATCGATAAAAAAGCAATAGATATCTTAGAGGAATTAGCCTAAGCTGGAAAAGTAAGGATAACAGCCTAAATCCTGGATTCACAACACAAAAGTTTTGACCTTTGAATATATGATTTGAAAACCATAGAGAACAAAGGGTTATTCAGAATTACAGAATTTTTAAATTAAACAAACTTAATTTTCAAACTTTTTCAAACTTTCTTAATTTTTTTTGAACGAAATTTTCATTATTTCATGTTTTTAGGCCGACAAAGATAAACTTACAACAGGATCTTTATTCAACACTTTTTAAATATTAAACACTATGTTTTTCTGTAGGATGCTTAAAACTTTTAATTTTTTTATATTTTTAGACGTTTTCACACCACATTGAAAAATTTTTATACATCAAAAACTGTAATAGAACTGTTTTTTTATAATATTTGCGCAACTTTTGAATTTGTATGTTAATTTACTTTTTTTTTTAATTAGTTTAGCCATATTTTTTGAACAGCTTAATCCTCTTACAAAACTTGAAGAAAACATTTCTCAGAAGAAAGCAGCAACAAAATTTTTCAGAGTATATTTTCTTTGTTAAATGAACTTACTTGATATCCTCTTTTTATTAATCTGAAGACTGATTTAATCTTACGTTAAAATCCGGGAAATTGTCTAAATTGCAACCCTTTTTTTGGCGCATAATCAACAAGAGAACTCTTATTTGTCCGAAAAAAGCAGGGATATACAAAAGAGAGGATTAGGCAAGAAATCAAAAGTGTCGACAGTGGATACAAATATTTAGGAATCGGAATTAAGACTATCCAATAAAAAAGATTTCAGGTCTGGTTTTGTAATTTTAAATGATCTTTCATTTAAAGAGAAGGAAGACTGATTCAGAACGGTACCCTTTACATAGTTTATTTAAACATTAATTTGGAAAGTTTTATTTATGACAATGTTCCCATTTCTAAAGCATAAATGAGCAAGGCACTTTGTAGTGGAACCATTACCACAATTGAAAAGCATTTTCAAACCTGAGATGAAATAAATACATACATTCTTAATAAGACATTAAAGCGTTCTAAGGCAATTTTCAGGGTACAGACATTCTTCATTATACTTGCATAACATATTTCATATGCTATAATTAGAGAGTCTCGATCACGTGTACAGTTCCTTTAAAAAGTCATTTTAAAGCATTTGCTGAGCTTTTCTTTACAAATATTTCCAAACTAGGCTAAAGCATCTTCTATTTAAATTGTGAACATGTTCTTTTTGTTTACATTTTAAAACAAAGAAGAAAAAATTTTTGCGAATTTAAAAAAAAAAATTTAAAACACATTTTTTTAAAATTTTTATCATTCATAAACCTTCCCTGTGGCCCGATCGGTTCAGCCGTTTTGACGTTTATTGGATACAAACAAACAAACAGACACCCAGACAGACAAGCCAAATTTATATATAGATACTGTTTAAAGTTGAATAAAGTAATGAACCTAGGAAACTTTTCCAGCAGTTACTATATGTGCGGATGGTAAGATTAAATTTTAATGAGAAAATAATTGAGTTTTTGTCACAAACTCTGATTATCTATCCATATATCTTTGTAACTCAATATCGCAAACCATAGTTATTTCAAACTATCAATTCTGTTAGATCAAATAGTCTAAGTTTGAAATTTCAAAGATTTACAGCAATAGGTTGCAAAGATACAGCGATTAAGAAATTTGAGTTTATGGCAAAGACTTAATTCCTTTAGAAAAACTAGAATACAGGAGCGCTACATGGATTTATTCTTAATGTAAAAAGTAATTGCAACAATTTTAAACAAATCATTTTGGAAAATTTTCTGGGGTCACATAAGTTTCCATAATTTAAATATATGTATATATGAATAAAAATATGTATATAAAAATAAATATATGTATATATAAATAAATATATGTATATATAATTATTTAATACACATAAAAAAGCTTTAATGGTTAGAACGGCAACAATTGCTTGAATATAATGTTTTTTCCATAACAAGTTATTTTTCAATTTCTTCTGAACAATCAGAAATTCTTCTTTATTTCTGATGAAATAGGGAAAACGAAAATGATTATAAAGAATAAAGCGGATTTGTCAGTATGCAGGTTGTAAAGATATGAATTAGAATATTGGATATATTCAACTGTTTTAAAAAGGAGGTAATCTTTTTTTTGGACAGACCATGCATATTTGAAAGGGAAAAGGCATGGAGGTGTTGCTTAAAAGAGTTTATACGAGCTGTAAACAATGGCTTTGTTAGAGTATTAATTATTAGTGTATTGTTAAATAAAAATAAAGCTCTTGAATGGTTAATAATAAAAACAATAATATAAATAACAAACAATAAACCTTTCTTTTGCTTTTGATTTGCATATTATTATTGATGCATAATGAACAAAGAATCATATTTATAGCACAAAGCATTATTATAAAATATTACTTTGTATTATTTGTATTACATTAAAATTTCATTTCTGAAAAATGACTTAATATACACTAGAACCCTCATTTTTTAAACCTCATAGAAAGTTTTCTTTGTTGATGCATTGGGTAGTTTGGAGGATGGTCATACGGCTGGTCGGTTATTTAAAAATAGTCCATAACGTTTTCGTTAATTAAGGCAACAAATCTAAATTTTGTTTGAAAAGTTGGCCTTCAAAGGAATTGAGTCTTTGTCACAATTCTGATTTTCTAATCTCTACATCTTCAAAACCCAATGTCGTAGACCTTAAATAGTTTGAACTATGATTTATTTAAAATCAAATGATCTAAGTTTGAGATATCAAAGGTTTACACCATCAGGTTTCATAGAAAAAAAGGTTTTAAAATTGTGAGTTTGTGGCAAAAACTGAATTCCTTTACAAAAAAATAAAAAATAAAAAAGATAAAGTCTTAAAGTTTATAAATATCATATTTATTTGTTAAGGTATGAACATGCAGGTTGCAGAGGAAATTCTCAATGAACAGTTTAAAGCTTGGGAAAGATCGTTTGAGCAAAAGTCAGGGCGAAAGAAAAGACAAACTGAAGACAACCCATTCAAAATATTTCAAAAGGTACTTTGTAAAGTTTTAATGCACATATAATTTATGTCAAATCTTTCTCTATTCCCTAAATTATTGCTAATATAATGTCTTGCTCGATTTCGGCAAATACGATTAGAACAGTTACATTAAAGTAATTTGCTAATATCTATTTGTGTACGTTGAGAAAATAATGAATAGATGTAAAACCACGAATTCTCAATTAAATTGTTTGTTTTTTTCAGGAAACATTTGGTTTGGACTCCGACGACATCGAAGTAATGGTAAGATTAATTTAATCAAATTTTTTTACCTACAATATATATGTGTTTTTTCAAAGATTATTTTTATTTGCCGACATCGAAGATTTAGGGCCAAAGAGAATAGAATTAGAGGGGATTTTACAAGAAAAAAGTGTAAAACGGCCATTTTGTTGTACTGTTTCCATACTGCAGGCGTACTTCACATATTTATGCTATATAACCTTTTGGGCCCTGGAATAGCATTTTATAAAAAATCTAAAATTAATATTAAATGAAAACCAAATTATGAAATAGGCTGGTTTCATAATTGACCAATGATCATTTCACATAGACTCTATGCCTTTTACTTTACAAACGATGATTTTCCGTTATAACTATAAATCAAATGATGCTTTTTATTCACCTAATTCATTATAAAGTTAATTTAACAGCTTTAAAAAATTCGAAATTGAAATGTTAATAGTCTAGGGAACATACTGTATAAAAGTACTCTACTGCTTATAATTTGTGAACATTTACATGATTTGTACACTTTGAACTCCCTTTCAGGCTGAAAGGGACTGAAAAAATTCATACCGAGAGATTCTTTAAATTCCCCTCTAATATATATTCTATTCTCTTTGTTTAGGACACTATGATAATATTAATAAGACAATAAAAAAAAATTATTTAAAAAGTTCCTCCTTAGGATTTTTAAATTTTTTATCTGAGGTTTTTCCCTGACAACACAATTAATTTTGATATAGGATCTGATGTATGCTTTGGCATCCCAAAATGTTGACAAAATACCCCATAATATAATCAGGTATTCTCTTTACCACAACAATACCGTTTAAACATTGGTCTAATCATGGATGAAAGGCAATGAAGGACATTTTCAGAATGAAACACTGTGTTAGATAGAAAAACATTATTTTCGTTCTTACTCTGATAGATATTATATTGAGGTATCGAACTTTTATTCTTTAGATAGAGAAATTCATTTGAAATTCCGTCTAGAGTCCTTGAAAGAGACAGATATTTGTATATTGTATATATTGTATTTAATTATGATTATAAAATATCATTAAAGAATGTTATCAGGGCATCGCCAATAACTCCTATAAATTATAGAACTTTGAACTTGTTGTATAGGGTAAAAAATGTATTCTTCATATGCCATATAAATAAATGTTTAATTAGATTTAAATTAATTGATTTTATTTTAGGAAAAATTTGATGAAACATTTTGACGGAAGGGATAAAGCAACCATCTCTTATTTGCTTAAAGCAGGTTAACAATGAGTTCCTCGCAGTATAAAAATGCTGTAAGAAATATTATAAAAGAAGAGTCAGAAAAAGAAGTTCGTCAAATTTACATAATCGTTTTTTTTTCAATAAAGGGAGTGACCGGCTATGCATGGTAGTTGAACAGAAATTGAAGTATTATTGGGAAATTTTTTAGGATTCATTTGAGACCTATCAGATGTTTTTAAAGTGCATATTTGTTCAGTAAGAGCGCAAATATGATCTTTAAAATTCTCATAGATTGCCCATTTTGGAGGTTTGCTTTTGAGAATTGGTTTTGTTTAAATTATGTAATTACAACCACGAAAAATGTCACAAAAAACTCCGACAGAAAACTATTTAGTTGTTTAGGAACAGGTTGAGAAAATAAAAATTGACTCTTACCATCGAAAAAAAGTAATCTTATTTAGTTATTGGTTTCTGTAATGTTTCAATGTTCAAAGCCATTTTCTTTAGTTATCCCAAATAGATTATCAAGTACAATAGGTGCCAACAGAGAAATGGATCAATTATACACGACGTAACTAGTGTCAAATATAACAAAGGAAACGAAATTTTCTCAAATTATTTGACATGTTTTTCAAGATTAAATAAAAAAGTGTAAAAACAGAAAAAAATAAGACAAAAAATTGCACCTTTTTCACTGTAAGATAAGCTCTTTACTCTAAAATTATCACTATTATTAATAATTTTGTCGGACACAAAAGCTAAGTTGACACTTGGGATGTAAGAATACAGCTGTACTGAGAGTATACAAATACTGCGTTGCCATCTATTGTACTTAACAATCTATTTGAGTTATCCTGGAATTTTTAATGAAAAGACGACATTTGAAGAATTTAAAGAAATCTGCGAACAAAATTCATAGAGAATAAGAAAATAAATATAATGATGGAGAAGAAAACAATTGATTATAAAATTAATGTATTAAATAATTTTTTATGAGAAATATGTTTCTGAACATCTTATTAGTTTACCGTAGAAATTTTGTTACATTTTTCTTTCTTCGTCGTTTTCGAAAAATTTTAATAAAACTGATTCCCTTCAAAATGAAGATTTTAAATATTAAATTTGCGTTCTTGCTGAATCAAATATGCACCGTAAAAACATCTGATAGGTCTCAAATGAATCCTAAAAATGTCTCAATAATACTGTAATCTCAGTTCAACTACCATACATTGCCGGTCAGTCCCTTTAAAAAGAAGTGATTCTGTTCTGGTTGTTTGAGGGGACCAAACCGATAACTTACCTCTAACTATAATTTTGAAATATCTGATGATGTAAACCTGATTTTAAACTTTGCCAATTCAACTGAGTTCTTAGTTTAAAATATCAAACGTCTACCACTTAAGGTTGCAAAATTATAGAGTTAGAAAATAGAGTCGATTAATTTTTTGCAAAAAATTGACAGTCATTTTTAAACATGTCAAAGTGTGTCTTTAAAAAAATTTTCGAGCAGAACGAGGTAATTTATTATAATTTTTATAAAGATTTATTCACAAACAAAGATATAGATACATATAATAATGGTGGTGTAGTTTAAATTTGTTTAGATATTTCGATATTCGAATATATTTTACATTAAAAAAAATTGCAAAATTATGCAAAATTTGGCAAAGTTAAGCACTTGATTCAATATTCTCATATAAAGAAACCCATCTACTGGCTAATATATTTTTTCTTGTAAACATTGTAAAATACTTTCAATCAAATAATTATTTAGTCTATGGCTTAGAATTCTTTAAATCTTTTTTTTCAGCTTCCAGTAGAAATTCTCCGCTTGACGAGCTAGCAAGAGCTTTATCAGATAAGCTTCAATCTGCATTATTAGATAAACTTACTGTAATGCTAGCCGATAACCTCAACACATCTTTACTAGCTCAACTAACACCAACTTTGACAGAGGAGATTGTTTCACAGATTATAACAACAACTTTTGCAGATGGATTTATAACACCGTTGCTTGCTGATCTTACAACATATTCAGAAGAAAAACTGAATACATCTTTATTATCTGATCTAAAAACTATTTTATCAGAAAAGATTTCAACATTTCTGTCAGACACATTGTCAACAACTAACCTAGACGCATTAACAACAGCTTTATCTGATAAGTTTATTACAGCTTTAGTATCAGACCTTACGACGATTTTATCAGATGAGGTTTCAACAACTGTATCAGATGAGCATACAATACTTTTATTGGCTGAGTTAACATCAACCTCATCAAACGAGTTTGCAGCAACTTCATTAGCTAATCTCATAACAACTATATCAAATGAGCTAACAAAGTCCCTATTAGATAAGCTTCCATTAGCTATTGTTGAAAGGTTAACAACAACTCTATCAGATGAGCTTGAAACAACTTTATCTTATGAGCTTGCAGCAACTTTTTCGGATAAGCTTACAGAAGTTCAATTAAATGAGTTTACAACGTTATCAAGTAATCTATCAACAACTTTATCAAATGCTTTATCAGATAATATAAAGACAACTCTATCAGATAAGTTTACAAGAACCATATCAGATGGGTTTACAACAGCTTTATTCGATGGGTGTGCAGCAGTTTTGTCAGATAACCTCAAGGAAACTCTATCACATATGTTAAGTAATTCAACTAATATATCATCAATTATTTCAACATCAACAATTTCAAGTACATCAATTGCTTCAAATACTTCACCTACTGCAAGTTCAACAATGACTGATCCAACTTCAACTACTTCAACTTCAACTACTTCTTCAATATCAACTGCCTCAACCACAGCAATAACAACAACACCAACTTCCTTAACTACAACAAGTACATCCACAACTTCGACTTCAATTTCAACTATTTCAACCTCCCCAACAACTTTTTCAACTTCAACACCTACTACTTCTACAACTTCAACTTCAACAACAGTTACTTCAACTTCAACTATTTCAACTTCAACAACAACTACTTCAATTTCAACAGCAATTTCTTCAACTTCAACTACACCTTCTACGACTTCAACGACAACTACTTCAACTTCAACAACAATTACTTCAATTTCTACAACAACGGTTGATGATGATGATGATGATGATGATGATGATGATGATGATGATGATGATGATGATGATGATGATGATGATGAAAATGATGATGATGATGATGATGATAATGATGATGATGATGATGATGATTATTCATCAACAGCTACTTCAACTTTAACAACAACTACTTCAACTTCAACTACAACTTTTTCAACTTCAACAGCAACTTTTTCAACTTCAACTACACCTACTACGACTTCAACAACAACTACTTCAACTTCAACAACAATTACTTCAACTTCTACTACAACTGCTTCAACTTCAACTACACCTACGACTTCAACAACAACTACTTCAACTTCAACAACAACTACTTCAACTTCTACTACAATTACTTCAACTTCAACTACACCTACTACGACTTCAACAACAACTACTTCAACTTCAACTACACCTACTACAACTTCAACAACAACTACTTCAACTTCAACTACACCTACTACGACTTCAACAACAACTAGTTCAACTTCAACTACACCTACTTCAACTTCAACAACAGTTACTTCAACTTCAACAACAACTACTTCAACAACTACAACAACAACATTTATGACAACGACAACAACAACTGCAAAGACTGTGGAATCTTTGTTTAAAGAATACGGTGAGAAATTATCTGGCTAAATGAAACATTTTGAGTTTAGTTAAGGTGGCCGCGCATTCAATTGGACTAGTTAGTGAACGCAAATGCAAAGGACTTTTTCATATTAAATCTAAATAAGTCAGTGAGATTGAAAAATACACTCTATTTTAGGGTTTCCAGTAGTAATTACTTTACATGTACTTACGCGTAAATACGCATAATACTTTCTTTCACTTACGGAGGAGCATTACGCAAAATTACATGTTAATTACGTATACGAAAGAAAGTCTAGTTTCGTGTTATTATGGCCCAATAATGCAAAATTACATAATACGAAACCATTCCGTAATTAAAGTACATATTAAATCTCAGAAATGAATATAGCGGGTAAATATGTGTAAGGATATGCGCACTACAACCATGTCCAATCTGATTGGAAAATTTAAATACTTTCAAATTGAATTAAAATTCGGTGATGGTGATGAAACAAACCCCCCGTAGAGTAAAAAGCAGATGTTGGTTCCACATTTTATTGAAAATAAATTTCGGTCTAGGTTGACCCTCCTCAGTTCTAACGATAAAATAGCCATAAAAATCGATGTTAAAAACCACAAGAAAAAAAATCTAAAAAGATTATTTTAAAATCTTTTTAATTGGGCTGTCAAATCGACAAAAGGGAAACGAACTCAGATGGAAAAAGATAATTTGCAAATATTCACTTTCACAAGAATGTTTTAAGAACATTATTATTCCTTCAGATTGTTTCTTTCGAATGAAGATTAAAAACAAACTGGTTAGCTTATATGTATAGTGCATATAAAGTGGTGGTGGGGTCAATCTAAGTATCGAACATTTGCGCAAATCAGGGGAGGGGGCGGCTTGTCTAAGGAAGGGTATTTAAACCTTTTAAAGAATTGGAAATGAACAATACTCTTTTTTTAAAATACTGAATTACAATTTACAATTAAATAAAAACTCTTTTTTTCTGTTCATTCCTGTGAATTCAGTCATGTCTCTGATGTATTAGGTTCTCGTACTTCAAGTAAATTTCTCCCTACTAGGTCCCAAACCATCTCTAGTACGTTAACTTTTAGATGGTAGATTATGTCCAGGAAGGTTTAAATGTTCTCCTGTAGGCTGGTTTGTATGGAGGTTTCACTAATTAGGCGGAATTATTCCAACATTTATGGAATTACTTTTTTAGAAATTACGCAAAATCACGCCGTAATTTGGCGAAATTGAAGTTTCGCCAATTACGCGTAATCCTGCGAAATTACACAAAATAAAAATTACACATAATTTTGCGTAAGTGAATAGTCTATTACGTTGGAAACCCTACTCTATTTCTAATATGAATAAGTCCGTGAGATCGCAAAATAAAGTCTGTTTCTTATAAAATCTGAATAAGTCTGTGAGATTGCAGTATTAATCATTCCTTGAAAGTCCCTTGACATTTAAATATTTAGAATCTTGTCTGAAGAACGAAGTCTATACAAATACTGGTAAGTAACACATTTATACTTGTTTGTAAAATTAAGAAAGGGAATGATGATACCATTTTATAAGTTCCCCAGCTAACCCCCAGGAACCAGGTACAGCGACTTAATTTGACTTCAAGTCAGGTGGAGCAAGCTTCCAGAAGTCGCGCCCATACATTTAGTACGGCGTGACGTTATTTCTGGGTAAACGTTAAATAATGGCAGTAGACTCCACGCAGCAAATTTTCCTCGGCATTCACGCACAATTCTGTGAATGTAAACTGTAAATTAAGGGAAATTATTTCTCATATTTGAGAATCAATCAAGTTTACAGTAAACTGCAAAAATATGCGCGAATGCCGCGGAAAACTGGCTGCGTAGAATTTAACCCAGAAATAACGCCACAGCTGAATTCTTGAATAGACCATTAAGGCTGGAGTGAAGTCCTCCCTCAATATCTTGCTTATTTAATTATTAATGGGCATTCTATTTCTCTGGGGGTGCATTGTTTGTGATTATCCAATTCAAACTCACAGCTATAAACTTTTTCCTGCTAAGACTATCCAAT